TAATCCAAGTTCTCTCTCTTTTCCTGCCCCTCCACCTCCACTAGCGTTTATATGGATCTCCCCGCCTGGAATTCCCTCCCTGACCCGTCAGCTGTTTCTTTTTGGATGATTCTTACTTATTGTTGATCTCTCAAATCTCAACTTGGATATCACTTTTTCCATGAAGCCAAATCTAGGTTAGGAGTCCACTATGTGTACACCCAGCACACTGAACTTCCTGTACCACAGTATTTGTCATGTTTCATTATCTTGGCTCTCTACCTGTCCATCTTTTCACTACATTTCACTACATAAAAATGCTTTGAAGTCAAAGATCTTCTGTATAATGTCACAATCATATCACCAGAGCCGTTCCTGGGTCAGTGCTCAATATATGTAGTTTAAAATAAAAGTAGGGAGAGAAGGGAAAACAGATTGAGAATTTAGGTAGAAATGAGTAAGCAGTGCCTCATTCATTTAAATAATGGCAAAGCTGCTGGAAATCCCCAAAACAAGATGCCACCTGATCCCAGACTCAGCTATGGCACAAAGTGAGGGAAGTTATTTATGTAGGACTAAAAGGGCTGATTTTGTTTGCTACGGCTTTTTCAAGTCTAGAATTTAAAATATCCTTTAAAGAATTTAATCCCTCTGAAATAATGGTGGTGGAAAACAACTGCATGTAAAAGCAATCCAGTAATAATGAATAAACAAAATAGCAGAGGCTTTTTTTTTCTTTTGAAAAATCTTTCATCCAATGAGTACTCATGAAGGAGCACAGAAAGCAGTCCATTTTATTTTTTAAGATGTATGATTACACCACCTTTGATGTGTGTGTATGTATGTGTATGTGTGTGTGTGTGTGTGTGTGTGTGTAGGTATAGATATCCTATATGTGGTATATGTGATATGACATATATATACCACATATGTGGTAGTTATATATCACACACCCATATGCACGTACATACACTAACACAGTTAACATACACATGAAACTTGAGAGTTTAGACTGAATCTCATTTATCATATAATCTATAATTCCTTTGTTATTTTTGGATAAAATGAACTGAATTTCAGTGTAGATTTCTCTTATTGGGGGAAATGTGAAATCTGACTTTAGAATCTGGATTGAGCTTTTAATTTGGGAAGAATCAATAAATAGATTGAACATTTTTTCTAAAAATGTGTCATATTTTAACAGCACAAGTGAATATAATAATTGTATTAAAAATTCCTTATTATCACTCTGTAAATTTAAATTATAGTATATTCCTTTTATTATTTCTTTATGGAACTGAGCTAAAGAAGTAATAGAACTATTCTTTTTCTCTTCAAAAAGAATTTTCTTGTATCTTCTATTTTGATATGAATGTAATTGTGAAATGAATTGTGTAGATTCTTCAAATATAATTATGTATAATATTGGAAGTGTTAATGAAAAAAAGGAATAACATCAGAAATAATGAATGTGAGAGAAATCTGAATAATAATACATACTTCTTCAAAGCAAGTGGACCAACTCAGAAAAATAACTGTCTTATGAATAGCTGAATATATGTGACGATCCTTTTCCACGTCATTAGATAGCCAAGCAATTCAAGTACACAACAAATTTAACCTTTCTTTTTTAACCACAAACAATCTGTTTAACAAACATAGTTAAATTGAAATTATTTGGGTATCATTTATTCATTAGTATCTAGTGCTATTTTGCTCCTCCATATCTATTATCTGTCCTTCTATCTAACCTAGGAGGTTCATCTGTATGAATCACACAGTCATGGTTTTCTATTCGTCTGGCTTCCAGTTAGTCCAATCAGTAGGGAAACCTTGCAGTTTGGAGGAAGAAAGAAAGAGGAAGTGGGGAGAGTAATGCATAATATTACTTGGCTTTTTCCTTCCCTTTTGAAATAATGTCAGACTAGCTAATCCTTTAAATAAGCATCACCCAAATCCCATTCTATTCCTTGGGTTCCAATAACCATGCTATCTCTTGCTCCTTTAAGTCTGGTGGTACCAGGTCAACTGCTGCTATTATTTTAGTAGCTTTTATTGTCTCTCTTTATCTATGTCATTAAACACATCAAGAATTAGTCTATTTGCAGTGATCCATATATTTTCTCTTGAGACAAGATTTATAAGGAAAACATATCGCTATTCAACTATCTTGGTATGCATTCTTTTTTAAATCAAAATGTTTAGGTTATTGATTTAACACTTCTTTTTCTTTAGTTATTTTATAAATTCAGACATATATTATACATTCCTCATTAATGGATATTTTTGTCTGGAGAAAAAAGAAGAAATATGGCTAGAAAACACATAGGATATTGTTTTCTCTTGCACACACATGGAAGATTCTTTTCTTCTTTATACTTTACTAGTATTTTTTAAACTGTAAATTAACTCATTTGAATATATTTTACTTCATTTATCCTGACTTGAAAACTTCTGTTAAGTCACCCAGCCTCTATTTCCTCCCATTCTAGAAGAACCCAAATCATGTCCAGTAATGTAAACTATTTTTGTTTCCAAAGAAGAATCCCGATTGGTCTATGTAGTCTAGCTTTGCATTTTATTTCCCTATTCAGACAGAGCAAGGTTCTTTGGGCTCAAAGGCCTAATAAAATCTGGGGACCTCTTTAAAAAATATAATAAAAACTGTGAATAGATACAACTAAATATTTATTGAAAATAAAATTAATAATAAATTAAAATTTTTAAAGCTGACTAAAAGTACTACAAATAGAATTTAGAAAAATAATATAACTTTAATGAACTACAAGAAGTTCATTTCTACAATAAATTTTGTCTACTTTTCTTTTCTTTTCTCTTTCTTTTTTTTTTTTTTTTTAGTTGTTGTTTTTTAGACAGGGTTACTGTTTCTCAGGCTGGAGTTCACTGTAGAGTTCTCTCTGCAGCCTCAACATCTTGGGTACAAGCAATGCTTCTGCCTCAGCCTCTCCAGTAGCTGGAACTATAGGCATACACTGTTATGCCTGGCTAATTTTGAAAAAATTCTATAGAGACAGGGTCTCTCTATGTGGCCCAGGTTTGTCTCAAACTCCTGGGCTCAAGTGATACTCTTGCCTCAGGCTCCTAAAGTGCTGAGATTACAGGCATGAGTCACTATGCCTGACCCATTGTCCCTTCTTTGCAAAATGCATAGCTCTTGATCACCACTTCTTATGGTTTTATAGCGAATTAAAAAAAAACTTCAATTTTTATCCAGTAAATGTAAATTCAAAATAAGTTTTTATTATTACTAACCACTTGCTTTTGCTTCTGCTACAGGCCTGTGCTCTACAAATGGAAGAATTCTAATAAATTCTGTTTCATATAATTCCCATTAAAAAGGGAAAAATATATAATTCAATAATACTTGTATATTCTATGATATGACATGTATTCTAAATAAGGACAGTCTTCCATTTTAGTAAGTTATAGATGAGAACTGACTCCTCAGCTAAGAATTTTACTCATCTTATAGTGAAAGAATATTGCATATACTAGTTTATGTTTATATTTTGAATCTTTTTTTTCCAATTATTAATCACAACTTTCCAGTGCCAAACATGTTAAAACATGTTAATACCATAATTTAATCTATGCAAAATGGGTGGTAAGTCAGAAGAAGTCTAGCAAAAAGTTCAATGTATCAACTAAAGAGGAAGCTGACAACAAACCACATAAATATGCCCCATTATCCCAAACTAAGAGAACTCCAAACAAAATTCTCCTTAGCAAGATATCCCAAGATATCCCAAAATATTCAAAGCTACTTGAACATCATCTGCAATGAAGTATAGCGTGAGAAAGGGCAAGTCAGAGTTCAAAGACACATAGATCTTAACTAATTGAAGTTAAAAACGACACATTACAAATTTCACCAAAAAGAAATAAATAAAATATCAACATGTGAGCACATTTTTAAGGAACACTCTCCTGATCTTCGTAAAAGTTCATACAAGCTCTGGCCTAAAGTTTCATTAACTTTACAGTAATGTATTTACACTAATGTATTAACTCTGGTGATAGTTTCTGGCTCAAGTTTGGGCATGGGATCTAAGCCAACCTAATTAGACTGAAGAGAATTATTATTTTACAATTATTTACAAGAGGTTTCTCTACCTTCTCCATTGTAAATGTAAACAGAACATCTCTTGCAAGCATGGGAACATGGGCCAGGGCGAAGTTAATGTTGACTGAGTGGGTATGAAAACCCAGATTTTTGAGATTTTCAAAATAAATTCATATCACCCTTGGAGTTTACCTTTGGATTTATATTTTATTTTAAAAAAATCATTTAAGCCAAATTGCTTTAGAGTTTTCAGTTACAGTGAAAATATCCTAATGTGTACCTACAAATTATTTATTTCTGAAAGTCTTATTGTAAGTATCATTTTGCATTTTCACTCAGATACAACTGTTAAATATAAAATTCTCTGAATTAAAAGTCATTGTAAACTGTGTTGAATTTCACAGCTATCACAGATGACAGGACTTTTTTTCTCAAATAATGAATTTTTTAAAACTTCTGATATTTTTCAGTAAATAATAATCTGATAATAATCAATTGTTTCAAGGATATTTTTCAAGTAAGTTAAAGTTGGTGTATTAGAATTTACATTGACATTCTGTTCAGCATAAATGATCCTCTAAAATACATATTTTCTTAAATTATTGAAAGAAAAATATAGGCTTCCGAATTTTTTAAAATTCCATTTTTGAGGTTTAGAAATAAAGCTTACACCTCAGACAAGCATTACAGTCAAGGTACTTTTCTATTGGTGAAATACATTTTAAAAGTTACCTTACAAATCTCAATTAGACAAATTTCAAGGCATAACATTGGAAAAAAAAATCTATTGCTAATAAAGAAAAAAATCACAATTCCCTTAAGATTCAAAGCTTGTTTACACTTTTATTCCTGAACAGCTAATATCATTTGATTTACAACCATTAAGCCTCTGAAAAGTCCCAAGCAGGAGAGGATAAAGCTCAGAACTGAGAGAGAGAAAAGTGATTAAAGCGAGGCAAAGTGAAAAAGAATTTTGTTTAATAATTCTAAAAGGAATATAACAAAAGGTATTATCAGAAAATTCTTTGATGTGCAAACAATAAATTTGTAGGCAAAGAGAAGTAAAAGTCAATACCCAGAGGAATGGTGACTAGTTTAAATCAGTAGAAATGTTCTCTTTAATATGGAAACAAAGTTTATCTGAGGTTCTCTGACTAGAGGAGGAAACAATATTAAAGAATACAAATAAAGAAAGAGAAACTGTTTCACGGTCTTTGATACAAAGTTTCTATTCTATATGGTTTAGGTTTCCCAAAATGTTTCTTATCCTCAGGAAACTGTTAATGGCCTTCTCATTATGGCTTCAGCTTGTAGTTTTTTTTTTAATTCTTACTATGAGATCTACTTAAGAAGTCTCCCAGTGTCCCAAAGAGAATGACCTAGTTTTTGGTTTTTAAATGAATTTCATATTTATAGGCATTTATTGTATCTATACTTTAGCAAAATATACAGAAATATTTGCAACAGAGACTAAGTTTTACACTTTTGTACAGGTGTTTGGCATCTATCCTACACATCCACAAGTGAAGATTGTGCCTGTAGTCCCAGCATGTCAGGAGTCTGGGGCAAGAGGATTGCTGGAACCCAGGAGTTTGAAACCAGCCTAGGTGATATAGCACAGCCTCTGTCTCTATTTAAAAACAAACAAACAAAATCAATTCTAAAAACACTGTGTACTAATTATATGCAAAATATATTTGGCTCAAAAATAAATATTTTCATCTATCTCTGTTCTTTACTATTGTGATATCTTTATAAAATTGTTTATTTTTGTCTGCTATCTAAGGAGGAATGATTTAGAAGTTGGACAATACACACGTGGTGGTGTGTACCTATGCAACAATCTTGCATGTTCTTCACATGTACCCCAAAACCTAAAATGCAATAAAATAAATAAATGGGGGAAAAATAAAAATAAAAATAAAAAAATTTTAAAAAAGAAGTTGGACAATACAAAAAATGACTACTAAGAATGCAATATTTTTATGTTTCCTAAAAACTTTTTATGACTTCAATTAGGATAAAGAAATTCTTTAACATTGTTCCTGAACTCAGAGGGTTTTCAGTCTGACTTAGGAGAGATGACACAATAATAAGAAACGGAAGTGACCCCAAGGGTACATAGTAGGTTGCTGCAAAAAGGAAAAGGAGAATAGGAGAGGATAAGAGAATGTTCAGTGATCCCTTGTTACTTATTTTTAAAAATTATGGAATATTTTAAGTCTAAATACATAGAATTATACAGCAAACATTCATGTTTCTACCATACAATTTGGTTAATAACATTTTTGTATCTTAAACTATTATCATTTAAAATAAAAATAAAACACCATTACAGATTTTTGTTAAATCCTCATTGTTAGTGTTCCCAGTCCCTTTCCTTCATTTCTTACTTAGAAATGACAACCATCCTAAATTTTGCATATATCAACCCAAAGCAACTTTTAATAGTTTTACTGTACAGGTATTTCCATACCAACACTGGCATACATATACAGGTAATATATTAAATATAGGACATATATTTGGTATGTATGTATTATACATAGTTGTATATATGTATAGAAATCACATAACAACCTATCATACTGTACATCTCTCAGCAATGTTCTTTTTTCACCTAACATTTTGTTTATTCTTTATCTATGTTTATGAACTACATATGACAATCTAGGTGATTAATTTTTACTGCTATGCAGGTTTTAAATATGTGATAATTATACAATATATTTAGCCATTTTCTTTTTTATGATCTTTTTTTTTTGTCTTACTCTTCACTATTATAAACAAAATTACAATAAACATACTTGAGCATATACCCTTGCACACATGCATAAGATTCCCTGGAGTATATTCCTAGGATTAAGCGGAAGTGATGAGTCTTAAATATGTGCAGCTAAAACAGTATTCAATATGGAAAATTATTTTCCAAGGTAGTTAAATCAGTTCATTATTCACCAGTAGGAAACAAATCCCATTTTTTAACAAGAAAAAAATTTGAAACTAAGGAAACATGCAAATTAGGAATTGAGGATATATATCAAAATAAACTCAAGAAACTGACAAAATGAACAATACAGAAAAGAGCAGAACTTATTTACATGGAAAGCAAAAAAGTAATGCGTGAATCTTTTGTTGTCAGGTTTTGTCTATTAGCTCAATGTTAATGAGCACTATTCAATCAGTGTTAATGAGGATTATTAATTAATAGCATCACTTAAACATTTTATAGCATTATTTTTCCTTGCTTTGTCTATGAAATATTGAAAATGGTATTTAAAGTATTTTATTGTGATTGTGCTTATCCAATTTTCGTTTGTAATATCATTCATTTTTAGATTATTCTGTCAAGATAACATAAGAAAAACTTAGACTAAGCATAAATCCAGTATCTATGAAAATCAAAAAAGAAATATATTAGTTTCTTGAGATTATTTGAAACACATGGGTTATGTAAGCAAAATAAGATTATATTCTATTTATGAATATCTAACAGGCTTGCTGAGTGTGAACCATGTAATCAAATTATTGTCTACACCAACATACATTTGCTGCAGGTTTTCTTCACACAGATGTATCATTATTTATTTAACCAAGTCTTTATTTGAATGTTTCTTACACTGACTGTGATACTTCACGATTTTAACTACTATCAAAGTAAACATTTTCCTATGGCTAGTTATATAAAAACTGGTTGTTATAAACTATTAAAAGTTAAATTATAGTATATAATGTTAAAAATTATAAGACAATTAACACACATTGTCCTGATGTCCCTATATCTTATACTTGTGACTGCAAATTTTGAAATTATATTAATTTTCCTATATAGCTTCATTAGAATTAAGAATAATAATTTTTAAATGTTTGACTAAGTAAAAATTTGTTTTTCAGAGTTGTACCATTGAATACCAATATTATACAAGTATTTCTTTTTAATTGTTTTTGTCAATAAGTTTTTCTCTTTATTAAAGAGTTTGTTCATAGTCTATCATATTTTATTTTAATGTGGTGGCGGTTATTTCTTAATGGTTTAATGTGCTTTTCAATTATAATATCAACTCATTAAACTGTTTTTCTTTTTTAATTTGGCCTTTAATTTTTTATTATATGATTTGTTGTATATCATACACAATTTGATTGATAGCCTTTTGTTTTAATATGCTTAAATCTCGCAGTCTTTTGTGGTTTCTTCAACATCCCTCTAACATTAAAGAAACATATGCTAAGCCTTTAGTATATGTCAAGAACTGATCTAGATATAGGTAATAGTTTATTGGAAAAGGCAAACAAAGCCTTGTTTTTTTTGAAGCTAACATTTTATTCATTGGCTTTCACTGATATAATAATCATCATTTCATGTCCATAACAATGAAAAATATAAATAATTTAAAAATTTTATAGCTTTTTTCTTGTTTTATTTGATTTTTAATTGAGAATTTTTAATGTAATATATTACTTTTTTATAAATATGCAACTGTTATTATATAATTCTTCATTTCTGCAAGATTTAAAATGCCATATTACCATACAATAACTCTTAGTTATCCAAAAGTCTATTGTTATTATTTTGTTTAACTTTCAGTTTGATTTATTGTTCTCTTCTTTGTTATTTCTTGTTTATTTTAGGATCCACCTGTTAAAATGTTTACACTGCATGGTATATTTCAGTGTTCATATAATTTACAACAATTTTCTATGTACCCTAATTTAGTCCATTTATTGAATAATCAGAATAAGATAATCATTATACATTTTAAAACGTGGAAAGTGTTTGATTATAAATAATAGCATGGGCTTTTATGTGTTCCCCCAGAAGCTAAAAGATGAAAAGCTCTTTTAGCTGTTTCTTGGTAACTTGCTTTATAAATATTTGCATGTCGCCTATCACCCCATTTAGCAATAAGCCTCAGATAAAACTTTCATTTAATATTTTATTACATTTTCCGCTTAACTAAACCTCTTCCTTCAAGCATCATGCTCCTGTGACCTTTGTAAACATTAGACATTGCTCTGATCATGAGCTTTAAATGACTTCACATTACCTACAGAAAAAGGCTTAACGTGCTCTTAAAGCTCTTGGTGTCTTCCACAATTTTTCTTATTGTATTTTTCTAGGAGCATCTCTTATATTGTCTAACAAAATTTGTCTATTCCAGCTACTGTGACCAATGTTGATTATTCAGAGTTACATCAATTCTCCATGTGCATGCCTACCTTCCTTGATGTCTTTTACACTTTTGTCTTGCCTTGTCATTTAAATCAAAACATTAACTATTTATCTGTCACTATAAATCCTTCTAAATACACTGCAAAAATGAAATGATATTATAACTTAGGTGTTTCAGTTCTGGAGAGTTTAGTGTATTTTGTTTTTCATCCACCATTATCATCTACATTTTAAACTTTCTATCCTTCCTCTCACACAACCATCTTCACAATTCTTTTTCTATGCTAAAATATAAAATATACTTAATCTGATAATGGACTCATTGGCAACAATTAGAAAATATTTGTACATTCTTGGCTCATATCTGTCTTCAAATTTTCATCCAATACAATGACAAATATTTTCAGCTTGATCTTCAAATTATATGCAGATTTTATTTAAGAGGTCTTTTAGCTTGTTTAAAACATAGAAAATTGAAAAAAAAATGTTATTCTTTTTATAAAATAAGAAAAAATAACAAATTGTACCTTTTGCTAAATCTGATAGCTTAAGTCACAGAGCCATCATCAACCAGCCTGAAGTCTAAGGAAAGCCAGCTGTCTCCATGAGCAACAAGAATGGCTTATCTGGGGCAGAGGACAAGAGAAAGATAAGGCTGCCAAATTATTCAGTCAAGTGTAGGCCAAATGAGAGTGTAAACCCCCAAAGCCTGTGACATAAGGAGAATTTGAACCTATGTGTATGTTCTACTCCATGGACCTCACAGTTTTTACACAAAGAAGATTGAGGTCAATGCAGAATTCTAAAGACTTTTAGTGCTTCAGAAAGGGCTGGAAGACTTAGCTGTAATCTTCTCTCATATAGAACAAAAGACTCAATCCTCTGGAATAAAGCCAGCAAACCCTGTCACCCTCTGGACACAGGTAAAGAGCTACTGTAGTTAGAGTAATAATAACCAAATAATAAAGGTCTAACACAGGAAAAAAATCAAATAAAGAAACAAACTCTGAGTGAGGATCAGGAAAATGTTCTGTACCCAGATTATTAACTATTTTCTACAATGGAGAGGGAAAGATAATAGAAAAAGTTCACCATCAAAACAGAGGTACACATAGCCAGCCAAAGGCTGAGAATGCACAAGGACAAAGGAGAATGTTCTTCACTCTTCACTACAAAGGCAGCAAGCAGAGAATAACAAGTGCCAACAGTTTGTCTCCAAGGGAGGAGCAAATGCAACAAAGTCCAATATCACAGGGACAGACTAAAGCTTAGGTTGGAACATGGACAGTGAGAAAACTCTCTAGGAATCCAAATCACAACCTAAACACAACGTTAACTAAGAAGAATGTGAAGATATGGTACAGCAAAACCTAACCAAAATTAACAACTAACTAGATTGACTCGATTACCACAATAAAAGCTGAGCAGAAGAGGGATCCCTATTTCAATGCATAAGTGTAATTTACTTCAGTCTCTACTGTCCTATACAACAACAAAATTCACACAATGAACTACAAGACATAGAAAATGTAAGGAGGGTGAGAGAAAGTGTCCAGATTGGATTATCTTGGTAGTGGCTCTGAATTATGGCCAATGAAAGAACCTGACCAAAGAGCCCAGCCAATAGCATCACTCTGCAAGAAGCAGTATCAAAAAAGATGCCAGGCTAGAGTGTGCAGCCAGCTTCTCCAGCCAGCTTTGGTGGTTTTACTTAATACTTCCCTAGTCTGGAAGACAAGTATACATCTATGACTATCTGTGGAGGAGAACATCTGGTGGCCCCACTCACGCCAGTTGTCAGGTGGTGACTACACAAATTTTGAGGTTCTGTATAAGACTTCCTTTGGCTGGAGAAATGTGCATATTTACAAATATATGAAGAGTGGAGAATCTGGACCCAACCATTCCAAGTGGCCAAGTCAGAATCTCCCAAAGACCTTTGCCCATCCTCAAAGTCCAGCTTACAGTCTTGCCCAACAACAAA